GAATTCTAAATTAAATGCTCTAAAATATATTTTGATAATTTGCAATATTGTATTTATCACACAATTCAAGCTCCTCAGAAAATAAAATGCTCCCCAGAAAACAAAGTGCAATAGTTATGTGGTGTCTCCCCCTAGTTTTAATAAGTACAAAAAAAATCAGTAACATCAAAACTAAATGCCTATCACTAAGGGTGACTTTTCAGCCAAACATATATGTGGAAAGTATATGGTACTTTCGTCAAAAGTAACTACTATGGAATTCAGGTTGAACTAGTTTAAAATTCAAACTTTTTAAGAGAATAATGAATGATATTAACAGATCTTTAAATAAGTTATAATTTCATCAATTTAGCTATACCATGTAAATAAAAACTGATGATGCCTAAAAATATTTTTTTCTGGTGGAACACTTGCATGGTGTATAAATTTTAAAACAAGGAAAGACCAGATTTATTTTCCTTTGTAATTTTTTCATAGAAATAATTTTGTAGAAAAAGTGTGATACTATCAAATAGCTTTTAGATATTTCTCTTTGTTTAGTCACACATATATTACAAAAGAGTTTATCTGTGAATTGCACATCAATTTTGTTCCTACATTCAATCTAATTATTTGAAGTAAATTTACAAATGGAGCATTTGTGTTCAACTTTTAAAATAATGATTAAACCCTGTAACTTAAAACCATTATCCGACACAGAACCTCACACTGCCCACAAACTGACATAAGGTGTCTCTGACTGACAGGGGTTTGCTTCAGGTGATTACTGAACCAAGCACCTGTCACAACTCCTCTGTGACAAAGGTGAGTATCAGTGATGTTGTCACTTTAATGTGAGCAAGACCACCTATAGTGGGACAGACATTTGGTGATGAATCTTGTTTTTGTTAAATGCTTTATTGAATATTTCTCCTTTCCTGTTTTAGTGTCACTTATCTCTTCTGGGTACCAAGCCCTGGTATTTCATGGCAGAGAAAGATCACATGACTAGATGAAGAAAGAAGTTGGACTTTAATAGAGCTTTCCACTATCCCAACTAGGCAAATGTCTAGAGGCAAGTAAGACCATGCCTTGTATGGGGAACATCTGGAGAGTGGGTCATTCAGAAACCCTTATACCAAATACTCAGACCAACATATTCCTCAAGTAGTCAGAGGGCTGGACTTCAGACAGGGCATCAGCTACTGTTTCTAACAAGGTTCAACCCTCCGTCCCTTTGGTGCTGGTCACTAAATATGAAAGTGTATTACCTTCTGTAAGGGCGGAGGAATTGTTCTCCGTCATCTGCTTTCCATCCATACACGAATTAGCTGAAGCTAGAAAATATTTAGGAAAGAACAAGGAAGTTAATTTTTAATACTCAAATAGAGTGAGTGGAAGCCACTGCTGCTCCGCAAAGTCTTATTCATCAAGACAATGAGTTAACTAAAATTAGCAAAAATGACAGCAAAAAATTTAGAAGTTATGCTATTCAAGGATAAAATATGTTAATGTCTTGAAAACTAAATTCATAAAGTATTGATCAGTGATATCCCATTTATGAAACATCTAATTTCATCAACAAGGTAAACTTGCCTCTTTCCCTCCTTCCCACCCCCTTCCCCAGCCAGGAAGGTCTGCTGAGGAGAAGCTTCTGTTCTGAGTTGGTCCTGATTAAACTCCTTTCTCCAGCTGCCACTCCCTCATGAAAGTTGTTTGGAGCAAGGGTGGGCACCTCACCTCCTCCAGATGAACAAAATACTGCCTTTTCTCAAGCATGTTATAATCAGACTGAGAAGAAGGCATGCATCGCCCTTCCTTCCTTATTTTTCATACTTTGAAAAAGAAAAGAAAAAATATGTAGAATCTGAGGAACAAAGACGAGGAGTCTTACCTATTCTAACTTCCTTGTTCCATAGTTCCTGAGACTGACATGCATTCTTTCTCTCCGGTTTTATAGAGTTTCTTATAATCAGGATAGCCCTAGCCACCTTCAAACTTGGTTTCTATAAAAACTGCTATACTTTAGGATTTTTTTTTTCCTAACTCAGGACCTTGTACTTGCCAGGCAGGGGTGGCACTACTGAGCTACATCCTTTGCCTTATTTAGGTTTCTTTAAAGCTATTATACAACGAATAAGAAGAAATAGGATTATTTTGTCATTATAAGGTACTCAAACTACCCATGACATAGTATAGTTTTATTTGAAAGTGGAGTTGAACTAAGCATAAATGTGTGTTGCAAAAGCATGAAAGTAAAAAATAAGTATAACTGATATGCTAAACATAAAGAAATAAAATGCAATAATATAAAAATGTTCAGTTACAATCACAAAAATTACACAATGGTGTATTGTCCAACTGTAAAAAATAAAATCCTGTGATTCGCAGAGAGTGGGATGGAACTGGAAAACATCGTCTTAAGCAAAATAAGGCACAGAAAGAGAAATACTGCTTGTCCTCTGTGATATGTGAGTGAAAAGATGACCTGAAAGTTAGAAATGATAGTATTAGTGCTGGGGGAACAGGGGTCGGTCGACTAAGTTGGAAGAAGCATGGATGGACATGAGCTTGATGTACACATACATGAAAATATAACAATGAACCCCAGTAATCTGTAAAATTAATGTATCTCAATAATTATAAGAAGAAAATAAAACTATAAAAAAGCAGAAAAGAGTGAAAGATGTATAAAAAAGCAGAAAAGAACAAAAACATGGGCAACAAGCAGAAAACAGTAATAGCTATAACATATTAATCAAGTACACAAGCAATCACTTGAACATCAAAGCATCAATTTTTCAGGGTATCAGGATGGATCAAAAAGCAAGATCTGCCTATATGTTATCTATAAAAATTCAGCATAAATATAAGGACCAATAGAATGATTCACTGATATAGATGGAGAGTTCAGCACTCTATCAGAAATGGGCAGTCTACGGCCATACCACACTGAATGCGCCCGATCTCGTCTATCAGAAATGGGCAAATCCAGAATGCACAGAATCAGACAAGGCATAGCTGAATTCAATAAAATCTTCAATGAACTGGATGTAATTGACATCTATGGACTTCTCTTTCCTACATCAGCAGAACATACATAAATAACTCTCAGGTTTACATGAATTTGTGCCAAAATAAAGCAGGAGTCATTATGTCAATTTTGGACAGAGAGTTCATGAGGATAGTTGCTTTCTTTATCTCTCATATCATTCCTTGCTCTGAACTTTTCTCTGCCCAAAATAAACCACATTTTAAGCCATGAAACACATCTTAGCAAATTTAAGAGAACAGAAATCACAACACAATATTTGCTTTCAGACTTCATGGAGTTAAATTAGAAATCAATAACATAAAGGTGACTGAAAAAGCAGATTATAACACACATATAAATAATGCATGGGTAAAAGAAGAAACCTTAAAAACTCTGAACTAAATAAAAATGGAAATATAATACAAATTTTAGGCTAAGTAAAAATGTATTACTTACAGGGAAATTTAGAGTATTGAATGTATATATCAGAGAAGAAGAAAGATTTAAAATCCATCCTTGAAACCCCAGCTTAGAACATGTGAAGTAGAAGAGCCGATTAAATTCAAATAAGCAGGAAATAATTAATAAAATCAGAGCAGATATCAATGAAATATAACAGGAAATCAATAAAGAAAATCAACAAAATCTCATATGGTTGTTTGGAAAGAAAAATCTAATAGGCCAATAGGCAGACTAGTTAAGAAAAAAAAAGAGAGGGCGAAAGCTTATAATATTTTAATAAAATAAGGAATATCATTAAAGATTCCATGGACATTAAAAGGCTCACAGAAATACTATGAATAACTCCATGCCCACAAATATTAAAACACAGGTGAAACACATAAATTCCTTGAAAGATACAATCTGCCTCATCTCAGGAAGAAATAGGCAATTTGAATGGGTCTATATTTATCAAGGAAATTCAATCAGTAACTAATAATCTTCCAAAAGAAAAGCACCAAACTCAGATGCATTCATTGTTAAATTCTACCAAATCATTGAAGAAGAAATTAAACTAATTGTGTACAGTCTTTCAGAAGATACAAGCACAGGAAGTACTTCCTAATTCACTCTCTGAAGGGGGGTTACCTTAATACAAAAACCAGACAAAGACATTATAAGAAAAAAAACCATAAACAAATATCTGTCTTGAGTACACATTTTAAAAAGCCTCTACAAAATATTAGCAGAAGGGCCGGGGATTTAGCTCGGTGGCACTGCACATTCCTTGCAAGCGCAAGGTCCTGAGTTCGATCCCCAGTACTAGAAAAAAAAATTAGCAGAAGTCAAATCAAAGAATGTAAAAAGGATTATACTCCATGGCCAAATGGAATTAATCCCAGGTACACAGGGCTGGTTCAACACTCAAAAATCAGTGTAATCTATCACATCAACAGACTAAAGGAGAAAAAAAATACTATTATCAATAAATGTAGAAGAAGCATTTGACTGAATCTAGTACTTTCATGGTATTTTTTTTAAATCTCATAAATTGAAAAGAGAAGTGAATTTTCTCAACTTGATAAAGATAATCTACAAAACTGACCCCTATAGCTTATATTATACTTAGTGGTGAGACACCAAAGTTTCCCTCTAAGACCAAACACAAAGTAAGGAAGACCACTTTCATCACTGTTTCTCAACTTAAAACTCTAACAATGATATTAGACAAGAAAAGAATGCAAAAGAGATTTTAAAAATTATTTGTTTAAGAATGACATTAGCTGTGCATAGTGGTGCACACCTGTAATCCAGAACTCTGGGAGGTTGAGGCAGGAGGATCACAAGTTTCACACAGCTAGGCAACTTAGTGACTTAGCAAGTCCCTTTCTCAAAATTTAAAAAGGGAGGCCTAGAGATGTCACTGAGTGCAAACGCTCTGGCTTCAACCCCATTATAATGACAATCAAGTGAATGAAAGACAAGCCACAGACTGGGAGCAAGTATTTGCCAAAGACATATATATTTGATAAAGGATTATTACCAGAACATAATTACTAATAGCAAGAAAATAACCACATCAAAAAATGGGTCCAAAACTTTGACAGCTCAGCAAAGATATGTATAGATGGCAATAAGGATATGAAATATGCTCTACACCACATGTCTGCAAGGAAATGCAAAGTAAAACAGCAATGAGAACCCACTACACACTGAAATCTGGGGAGGAAATGAAGAAACAGGAACTCTCATTCACTGCTGGAGGGAATAAAAAATGGTAAAGCCAGGTGAAAGACTGAAAGACAGTTTGGTGACTTTTTTAAAAAACCAAACACATGGCCAGGGATTTAGCTCAGTGGTTCGACAGCCTGCCTCGCAAGTGCAAGGTCCCGAGTTTGATCCCTGGTACCAAAAAAAAAAAACCAAACACAGTCCTCCACTATATGCTTATTATCTGTGATATTTGTGTATTATATTTACACTGACTTCAGTGAAACAACCAAAAATATATAGAAGATCACAAATTATGAAGAAGGTGAACTGGGGAAAGGTACAATGAATGCAAATAAAAAGCAAAATAGTCTGCTTCTACAAATAAAAAAATAAATAAACACACTCATACAATCCAGCAATCACATCACTCAGTATTTACCCAAAGGGGTTGAAAACTTATATCCACACCAAAACCTATCATAGGCGATAATAACTTGACCCATAATTGTCAAAACTTGGAAGCAGTAAGATGTGCTTTAATGGGTAAATGGGTAAATGAAATATGATACATTTAGAAAATGGAATATTACTCCATGCTTAAAAGAAATGAGCTATCAAACCATGAAAAGACATGGAGGAAAAATAAAAAGCATATTAGAAAGTGAAAAAAAAATCTGAAAAGGTTATTTATGGTATCATTCCAACTATATTACATTCTGCAAAAGTATAACTATTAAAATAGTTAATATCAGGGGTTTCCAGAGGCTAGGGGAGAGGAAGGATTAACAGGTGAAGCAAAGAAGATTTAGAGGACAGTGAAACTACTCCTTATGATACTATAATAGTACATACACGTCATTAAACATTTGTCTAAATCCATGGAATATGTAACACCAAGAGTGAACTCTAACTCACACTGTAGACTGTAGGTGAAGATGATGTGTCAAATGTGTAGATCCCTCGACTGTAACAAATGTACCATTCTAGTGGAAGATGTCGATAAAGATGGATATTTTTCATGTGCAGGGGCAGAGAGCATATGGGAATTCTCCATACATTCCACCAGGAATCTAAAACTGCTCTAACAAAAGTCTAATAATTTTCTTATTTCAAAGTTAACAATAATGGCAAATAAAATTTTGGAGACAA